TTATTATTATTATTATTATTATTATTATTATTATTATTATTATTATTATTATTATTATTATTATTATTATTATTATTATTATTGGACAACCATTTGTCTGAAATGGTACGGGGTCTCCTACATGAGCAGGGTGTTGGACTAAAAGACCTCCAAGGTCCTTTCTGTTTTTCCGTTCTGTTATCTGTAGCCACTATCCAGCAGCTCTTTGCCCCTGCATTTATCCAGACAGAACTCAGTAGGACTTACCTCTGAGTAATCCTCTATATGGGGAGGAGATAGAGAGGTTCTAGTTTTTCTTAGTGATTATATTTCTAGAAAGAAGCAGAAAACATTTGAAGGAGATTTTGGACTAATGTTATCACAAAGGAAGTTACATCCAAAAGGGAAGAGATTCGGACTGAGGGTACTCACTGGTTCATCCTTCTTGGTGAACTCCTCAAACTTTGGAAGCTGAGCTTGCTTTTTGAGAAACAGAAGGCAGCATTCTTCACTATATGCCAGCTTATTGTATTGCTGCTTTTGCAGCTCAGTGTGTAGATTGTCTGGGGAGTATTGTACCTATTTCAGACAAAGGTGAAAGTAGGATCAAAGAGATTAGAGCAGTGATGGTGAACCTTTTAGAGACCGAGTGCCCAAAAACTGGCCCCAGTCTGTCTGTCTCCAGTCTAATCAACATTGGTAGGAGGCAACTACTTGAAACTTCCTGATTTTCTATGAAAAGATTGAACTTTCAAAGATATGAGAAGCAGAACTAGAGTTGGAGTAGTTCTTCCCATGCATTAATATTCTAAACGAACCTTCATTGTGAAGGGTCTTTGGTGCTCTCTGAGCTTGGTTGTTTTCTTGCAGACATTTCATTATCCAAACTGAGTAACATCATCATTGCTTCTTTTACTATTCTTGTTCTCTCCCAACATGTTGGATTACAATTCCCAAGTTCCCAGCTATTTGCTCTGGAGATTTTGAAACATTTGTCCCTCTAGTACTTTGAACATCTAGAATCACCAGTCATTATTATTTCTCTGAATATAATCAGGAACACAATGATTGATGATGCTAGAAGATGCTTTAAATCACTAGGGGAACTTCTTCCTCAAAGCTGTAGTCCCAACCCATCTGGATGACACCTAGTTGAGTAAGGCTGTCCTAAACTCTCAATACAGTAACAAATGTTCTTGCTGTAATGACCTAACATTCAATGTTTGTGCCTTTTAGGTAAAAGGCTCACAAGCCATGAATATCATCAGTGCCATTTTTGCGTTACTTGGAATATTGGCCTTTATCGTAGATCTGAGCAGAAATGGGCCATTTCATTCAGATGATAATTACGAGTATTCACTAGTGATGGTAAGTGTCAACAGTTCAGACATAGTGTAATACTGCCAGACACTAGCAAAGGAATTAGAAGGGTTGATGGTCTAGTTATTGTACATCTGAGAAGGAAAGCATCCACTTTCAGAGTAAAAGGATGCATCCAGCTAAAGAACATTTCATGTGGGCACTCAATCATGTATATCCAGCACACCTGAAACCCAGATGAAGACACTTGAATCCAAACTGGTAACTTGGTTCAAGCTACGGTTAGCCAGGTTTCAGTGCCATCCTTCTGTAGTGTTAGGCTGTACTATTAGACATGATTTCTTTAGCATGGCACCTGTTTCTGCTTCTGGATTGGCTCTGTAGTGTGAATTGCTGTCCTTAGGATCGCCTGATAATTTAATCACAATGGAGATGAGAATGGATCTGACCCCCTCTGACTCTTGAAAGAAGAAAAAATTAAATGTTGAATATTCAAATATGTTCAGTTTGAAAAGGCTTTTTGTTCACCAAGAATAGAGAAGGAGTCCTGAACCTTTTAATTCTGAAGGGGACATTTGGTGTTTGGGAAGCTCTTGCAAAGGGTTGAAGGAGAGAGAGGAAAATTTCCTGGTTCTTTTATCCAAATGTGACCTGCCATTCTCTCCCAACCCTCTTTCTACAGGACTTCTCTTCTCCCCCAATTACTTTTGCCTTCTTTCCCCCAATCGCTTTTGCCCCCTTTTAAGCAGCTCGGCTGTCTCTGGACTGCTGCTGCTGCTGTTCATCACTATTTTCTAAGAACAGCTTACAGGACCATTTGAGATACAGAAACATTTTTAGAAATGAAGATGCTGCTGCAAGCTACTGACCCAAAAGGAGATGTCTGCAAGAGTACTAGAGCCCCAAGATCTGAGACAGGACCCTGGGAACAGAACAAAGCAATTATATGGACTGAGGCAGCCCCTAAGTCTGGAGAAGTAAATGGATAGGTTGCCATTTGTTAATTGGCTGGTGTCATTATGTTTCCTTTTGGGAAAAGACAGGCAATAGGATCGCCATTGTGCTGTTGACATTCACCATTGTGGAATTCTGCATTGCATCAGCAACTGCATATTTTTGGTGCCGGGCAACCCGTTCTGACTCCAATGAGGTGAGATTTACTACCCAAATTATAATTGCTGCTACATCTGTGAATTAGAGTTAGGTTGTTATTGTTTTCGATTCTGATTAAAGTGTGTCAGTCATTGTGTGTCAGGGTTTGATGAAAATGGCATATTGTAGCCTGGATGGACAGATGAATGTGGGTTAAACAGAATTAATCTGAGAGGGAATGAGGTCAGAAAATGAAAATAGTTTTTTAAAATGATCCAATCGGTTGAGTTTTGATGTTTGTGGGAAGAAGAATCAATTCCTCAAATGAATGTGGGAAAAGCTGGGGAAAGAGGCAAGTCTAATGTGGTTTGTTTTCTAGGCTATATTGATCGACCCAAACACCGTCAGGACTGATAATGAAGTTCCTTCTGTAGAATCTTCCGTACATTGTCTACCAAGCTCTAATGATGTAAGTTATGATTTAAAAATTGAGGCCGTGTAGAAGACTAGTCTGGAGGAATTTGTATGGAGAAATCACATCAGCTGCACTTCTTTGGGGGCATAAAAGTTAGCCTTTTCCTGCACGACAGAGATCCTTCATTTTTGTCAGTATTCTAGCTGGCAGGCCAATGAAGGCAAAGGGACCGTCTCTCTCTCTACTTTCTCCTGTACTGTCTCCATTTAAGCCTGGAACAACAAGACACGTGACTTGATATTTTTTGCCTCGGAATAAAAGGTAATGCTTTCTTTTGCATGGGCTGTGTATGGAAATAACCATATGTGACACGTGGATTGCTAAGCTGTCGAAGTGTGGTTCGAGGACAATCATGATACTTTGTTGGAAATAGTCACAAAATAGTTGGTGACCCAGACTGAGAATATGGAAGTGAAGCCAATAGATGCCCAATGTGGACATTAATGCATCTTTTCAACTCTGGCTGGCTCTGTTATTGACTTGGTACCCGTTGAAACCGAAACCAGTTCATGATGTTAATTTCTATTGGCCAAAGTCCTGTGTTGCAGCTGGTTAATAAAGACTCTGTACCATTCTTAGGTGTCCTGGCAAATGTCCAGTATATGCAACTGTCTGGGCCTCAGTCTCTGTAATTGATTCCTCCTTATGTTTTCTTATGGGAACTGGAGATCAGAATACTGTAGAAAGTAGCATCTGCAGATTAATTTGAGGAAAGCTGATTGGCTTTATATGAAGCATATCTGCAACTTTGGATGCTCGTTATTCTGTTTGCCATTTATATTTGCATTTAGTACATTCTATTAAGATATTCATAGAACAGCCTTGGGAAATATTCCATCCTTTATTCTTTGCAAGTACCGCTTTTTTGTGACAGTCTCACTTGCAGCTTTGCTGAGCCAAAATTGCTGTTTCAGTTTCTTTTCATTGGCTGTACCATATAAGAATGCTTCCTCAGAGGATAAAGCACTCCCACCCCAGAACGTTAAATCCTAATTCAACTTTATGTATTTCAAAGTTGGACATGCAGTTTAATACCTCCATGTCTTGTAAAGAAAAAAAATGGCACAACTTTTAGTGGATATCTGAAAATCTTGGGCAGTGTTTTGTAGTAATCATTTCTAATGATGGACCAGTAACATTTTTTTATATATCACTGAAGGCCAGATGTTACCCTGATGCAGGGCCAGAAACACTGGAAGAAACGTGGGACTACTACATGTCTGTTCCTACACTGATAACCAGACTGAATTGATTCTGGATTTAACCTACCATTCTCCAAATGGTTCCCTCCCAATGTTTAGGACTATAGCTCTAATTAACTACAGCTAGTAAGTACAGCCAGCATTCAGGGAGAATGTAGGGATACTGTAAGCAAAATTAAAAGTGACCTAAGCTTGGAAAGGCTGGCTTAGAAGAAATGGCTTTTCACTTAAAAATGTCTGCTGCAAGAAGGAAAGCATTTAGACTGGATCCTGACCCTTAGCCAAGTATGCAGTTTCAATGCAGAATGCAGGATTGCTACCTAATCCATCAGGAAATTCTCTTGGTCACACAGCACTGAAATGAGTTAGAAAGTTCATAAAATATGTGTAGTTTGTGAACATGGATCATGGAATTTGCAATGGGGAATTTGATAGACCCTGGCCCTGGCCTTTAAAAATGTTGGGTTGAGATGTTTTCCCCTTTGTTTGTTTCTGGCTGCATATTATGTATTTTGTACTATTTTCAGAGTTTGGAATTATCTGGTTTGAGATTGGTTTTCTTGGCTTCTAAGCATCTTGACTAATGTTTTTTTCAGAGCATGTTTCAAGGGAAATTTCTACAATTTTAATACCTTTCTGTGAAACAGGGATACCTAACTTGGGTGACTTCACTGAGGTCTGGTTCTTGTAACTGTTTATTCAATTTTAGACCAAGTTAAGTCTTAGATTTCTTCAGTGATTCACTATTTTTAAATCTGACCTTGTTTTTCATGAATGTTTTTAAAAACTGCAATAAAACATGTACTTGAGACAACTCATGTCTGTCCTTTGGCTTTTCTCTGATGCTTAATAAAGAATCACCTTCATAATGTTGAATGGTCTTAGCTTCTCCAGAAGAAAATGTTGGAATATGTTGTTGGAATGTATTTTTGTGCAACAACTACAGTAATATTCAGCCAGTAGGTGGCAGTGTTTACAAGTCTGGATCTATGGTATATATACTCTATGTTCTTTTTGTTCTAAGTAGGGTTTCCTGTTTCTTGTTACAGTTAAACAGTTAAGCAGTAAAGCACATGGTGACTGTACACTCTTTGATTTGTGGTGCTATATATAAACAGAATTTCTAACAGAAAATGAACTGGGAGAGCCCTGTTACTTTCTTCTGTAAGTGGTCTGACAGACAGATGTTACGTAAATATAAAAGGAAAATACATTTGTTAGTTCATAAATTTCTCAGGAATCGGAAAATCAGATTGGTGTAGTGATAAAATCAGGCTAGAAACTGGGATTCTGAGAGTTCTGGTCCCACCTTAGGCAGAAAGCTAACTGTGTGATTACAGGTAGTCCTCGACTTATGACTACATCTGAGGCCAAAATTTCGGTTCCTAAGCATGATAGTTGTTAAGTGAATTTTGGATAATAATAATAATAATAATAATAATAATAATAATGATGATGATGATGATGATGATGATGATGATGATGATGATGAGGAGGAGGAGGAGGAGGAGGAGGAGGAGGAGGAGGAGGAGGAGGAGGATGTTGGAAGGGACCTTAGAGATCATCTAATCCAACCCCCTGCTCAGGCAGGAAACCCTATATCAGGGGTAGGCAACCTTGGCTCTTTTATGACTTGTGGACTTCAACTCCCAGAATTCCTGAGCCAGACATGCTGGCTCAGGAATTCTGGGAGTTGAAGTCCACGAGACATAAAAGAGCCAAGGTTGCCTACCCCTGCCCTATATCATTTCAGACAAATGGCTGTCCAGTCTCTTCTTAAAAACGTCCAGTGTTGGAGCATTCACCACTTCTGGAGGCAGGCTGTTCCATTGGTTAATTGTTCTAACTGTCAGGAAGTTTCTCCTGTCAGGAAGTTCTAGGTTGCTTCTCTCCTTGATTAGTTTCCATCCGTTGCTTCTTGTCCTGCCTTCAGGCGCTTTGGAGAATAGCTTGACTCTCTCTTCTTTGTGGCAGCCCCTGAGATATTGGAACACTGCTATCATGTCACCCCTCATCCTTCTCTTCATTAAACTAGACATACCCAATTCCAGCAACCGTTCCATTTTACAACCTTTCTTGCCTCAGTTGTTAAGTGAATCACCACAGTTGTTAATTTAGTTACATGGTTGTTGAAGGAATCTGGCTTCCCCATTGACTACACTTGTCAGAACGTCACAAAAGGACATTACATGCAACTGTCATAAATACAGGTACATGCCAGTTACCAAGTGCCTTGGTTCACATGACTTAATTTTGTTCACATGCTACAACAGTTGTAAGTGTGAAAAAGAGTCGTATCACTTTTTTCAGTGCCATTGTAACTTCAAACAGTCACTAAATGAATGGTTGTAACTCAGGGACTACCTGTAGTCACTTTCTAGTCACTAGAATGAATCACTTTCTCTCAGCCTAGGAAAGAGACAAGGGCAAATTGCTTTTGAAAAAACTTCCCCCCCCAAATGCATAGATTTGTCCAGGCAGTCTCTGAGAATCAGGCATAATTGAATGGAAGAAAAAAATATCTTAAATTCCATATGCACACAGATACATAACTCCATGTCTACTTTCAAATTTTACTTAGCAAGAAATGATGGAATGCTAAAATGAAGCTCCAGCTTAATAGACAGGACTACACCTGATCTGCCTCTCTTCTGTTTTGATCTGTGGACTTACTGGTTTTTGGAGAAGTTCTGGGAAATGAAGCATCAGAAGCGACACATCAAGCACTGCTGGAGAAAGATGAAGAATTCATCTGATCATACGCATGTAATATCCTATATTAAGGCTGACACAGTGGTGAAAAGAGTAACAAAATTTAATTATTCCTCTTTCCATACTGCATTGGCAGAATATGCCCAGTGACCTTTTTTTAAGGTAATCTGTGCTGAGGGACTGAGGGCTGAGGGAGAAGAAGAACAACTGAAGGGCTACTGTGAAAAATATTCTAGGCATCTGATGGATTGATTAAGAAGTGCACTCTAGATGGACAATTCTATATCTAAGAAATTTGAGCCTGTGAATGTCAAGGAATTGGACAGGATCCTCTGGGATGTCAGAGCTGCTTTCTATGTTTTAATTCAGTGTCCCTCCTGCTTAATTTTCCCAGGATATGAAAAATTGCTAGTTTCAAGTGATGCATTTGAATGAGTGGGATCCTTCTGTTTACCTCCAAGAAGATATTGGCATGCCCCCTCTTCAAGAAGCCGCTGATGGACCTGGTCATGTTGGATATATTTTTTTTATCAGTTCTCAATCTTTGCTTTTTGAGAAAGGGTCCTTTCTAGTCAGGCTTTAGGATTGGGTACAACAGTAAGATAGCATTGATCATGCTTGTGGACAATCTTTGGTGGGTTTGGGATTGAAATGGTATGATCATCCTGGTCTTAGCTGCATGTGATACTGTTTCAGTATGTGTTTGATACCATCACGGTATCCTTCTGGACCGTCTTTGAGGGTTGGAAGTAGGGGGTACTCTTTTTTTTACAATAGTTCTTCTTTGGGGACAGTTTCAATCAATATTGGTAAGTGGGGAGAGATCCCCCCCAAGGCCCTTTCTTTTGTGGAATCCCCAAAGTCTCAACACTCTCTCCACTCCTATTTAACACCTACATCAGTGGTTCTCAACTTTTTCTTCATCATGGACTCCCCCTTTAAATACCTTTTGTGGACATGGACCATGGCCACAGACCATCAAGTCTTAACTCAAGATTGAAATCATAATATTTCTTCAACCTTTCACTGACCCCGTGATGACATTGCACCGACTACAGGTTGGGAACCAATGATCTACATGATAAGTGAAGTTATCCATTTTGAATGAGGTCAGG